GGAAGATGTGAATCAATCATTGGTTCAGTTCTTTGAAAAGCTGTCTGCTGGCAACGTTCAAGATGGATGGGGTTGGAACATGAATTCAGACCCTTGCGCTGACAAATGGATTGGAATTAAATGTGATTCGAAGTCGAGATTCGTTAGGAAAATAGTTCTTGAAGAGATGAATCTTTCAGGAATTCTTGATGCTGATTCTCTCTGCAGAACAACTTCTCTTGTTCACTTGAGCCTTAAAGGCAACAATATTACTTCGTCAGTGCCTAAAGAGTTGGGAAACTGCAAAGGTCTAACTCACTTGTATTTAAACAGGAATCACTTCTCAGGTAGTCTTCCTGACTCTCTATCTCTGTTAAGTAATTTGAAGAGGCTTGAAATAGCAGACAACAAATTTTCTGGTGAGCTTCCTGCGGATCTTCTGCGAATTTCAGGCTTGATTACTCTCTTTGCAGAAAATAATGAGCTTTCTGGAAGGATACCCAACTTTGATTTCTCTGATCTTGTGCAGTTCAATGTCTCTAACAACAATCTTAGTGGCCCAATTCCTGATGTCAAAGGCAGATTAACTGCAGACAGCTTTGCAGGAAATCCAGGACTGTGTGGTCCTCCACTCCCAATTGAATGTCCACCATCTGCTTCAACTCCAAAAGACAAGCCAAAAAGCTCATCGTTGGATCGTTTTCTGATCTATATAGGCTACATAATTCTCGTAGCGATTGTTGTGGTGTTCCTTGTCTTTAAATTAGTGGGTAAGAAGAAGTCCAAGGTAGCGAACTTTGAAGGCGTACAAAGGGGAAGAGTGGTTGATAACAAGTCTAGTAGTCCTTTCATTGAAATTTACCTCGATCGGCGGTCGGAAATTTCCCCGGTGCGGCGGCGAGTGGCGGCGGGTGGCGGCGGTCGGCCTCTGGTTCGTCTTCTCCGGCGAGCGGCTGGCGGCTAGGGTTTTTGGTCTGGTGTGGGGGTTCTATTTATAACCCCTTGCCTTTTGATCGCAGCCGTTCATTTCCTTTTAATCTGGGCCGTTCGTTTTTGATTGAATCTGGGCCGTCCGTGCGTTTGAATCTGGGCCGTCCGATCGCGCGATTGATCTGGGCCGTCGGATCGCACCCACGCGGATCGCCAACGTGGCTCCTTTTGGAGTGACGCGATCTTGCCACGTGGCAGGCCCTGGTTGGCCGGGACTGCTGACCGGGCCTGCTGACGTGGCTGCTGACGTGGCCCCCCCCCTTTTTTTTTTTTTTTTTTTTCTCCTCCTTTCCGGGTGCTACAACTCTCCCCCCCATAAAGAAATTTGGTCCCCAAATTTGCCTCATTACTCTTGATCAAACAGATGAGGATATTGGGCCCTAAATTCTGATTCCAGCTCCCAAGTCGCCTCCCTAGGCGTGTGGTTCTGCCACAAGACTTTTACAAATGATATTTCCCGGTTACGGAGTATTCTGCTTTCTCGGTCCGTGATACTGACCGGTACTTCTTCATAAGACAAGTCCTCTCGGAGTGAAAGCGGTTCATGAGCCACGACATGAGAAGGGTCCGGATTGTACTTGCGCAGCATAGATACATGAAACACATTGTGAACCCGGGAGAGCTCAGGGGGCAGTGCAAGTCTGTAGGCAGTGGTACCAATCTTGTCTAAGATTTCAAAGGGTCCAATGTATCTGGGGTTTAATTTTCCCCTTCTGCCGAACCTACTAATTCCCTTGAAGGGGGTGACTTTAAGAAACACCCGGTCACCTTTCTCAAAGGCCAGGTCTCTCCTCCGGGTATCAGCATAGCTCTTTTGCCTACTCTGAGCCGTCTGGATGTTCTTCTTGATCTTAACTATCTTGGACGTGGTTTCTTCCACCAAATCCGGGCCAAACAATCTTCTATCGCCCACTTCCTCCCAACAAATCGGTGACCTGCACGGACGCCCGTATAGCGCCTCGTATGGGGCCATGCCGATGCTTGCTTGGTAACTGTTGTTGTAGGCAAACTCTATCAGGGGTAGGTGGTCGTCCCAATGGCCTCCGGAGTCAAGGACACAAGCTCGGAGCATATCCTCCAGCGTACGGATTGTCCTCTCTGATTGTCCATCGGTTTGGGGGTGGAAGGCAGTACTGAGGGACAGCTTTGTTCCCATAGCTTGCTGGAAACTATTCCAAAACCGAGAAGTGAATCTGGGATCCCTGTCGGATACCACTGTTACTGGGACCCCATGCAGTCTGACTATTTTCCGGACATACATTCTTGCCAACTTGTCCAACGAATCAGTCATTCTGATGGCCAGGAAGTGGGAAGACTTAGTGAGTCGGTCAACAATTACCCATATGGCATCGTGTCCCGATCGTGCCTTGGGTAGTCCCGATACGAAGTCCATGGTGATGTGTTCCCACTTCCATTCTGGAATCGGTAAAGGCTGAAGCAACCCCCCTGGGCGTTGATGTTCTGCTTTGACCTGCTGACATACCAAGCACTTAGATACAAAGTCGGCTATATCTCTCTTCATCCCATTCCACCAGAATCGGGGTCGCATAGTTTGGTACATTTTTGTACTTCCTGGATGCATGGCGAACCTTGAACTATGGGACTCTGTCATGATGTCTCTTTTTAATTCATTGTTGTCTGGGACACACATTCTGTCCTTGAAACGAATCAATCCGTCGGCAGAGATCTGAAATTCTGAGTTCACTCCCTGTCCTGCATCCTTCTTGCGGTTTACTAGGGCGGGGTCGATTGACTGGGCTTCCTTTATTCTTTGGATTAACTCGGGTTGGACTGCTAGGTGGCTCAAACATGTGGCCCTCTTCAGATCTTGCAGTCGAACCTGCTGCGTAGCCCCAATGGACTTGCATTCCGAAACCATCAGATGGGCTAGGGTGCCTGCACTCTTCCTACTGAGGGCATCGGCTACTACGTTGCCCTTACCTGGATGGTATAGGATGTCACAATCATAGTCCTTGAGGAGTTCCATCCACCTTCTCTGACGCATGTTGAGATCCTTCTGAGTGAAGATGTGCTTCAAGCTCTTATGATCGGTGTAGATCTGAAAGGTCTCTCCATACAAATAATGGCGCCAGATTTTCAAGGCGTGTATGATTGCGGCAAGCTCCAAATCATGGGTAAGATAGTTCTTCTCATGATTCTTTAGCTGTCTAGACCCATATGCTATAACCTTTCCATGCTGCATCAGGACACAACCCAGGCCCAGATAGGAGGCATCACTATAGACTGTATACCCTCCTGATCCACTCGGTAGAGCCAGCACGGGTGCAGTAGTCAGTCGCTTCTTCAATTCTGAAAAACTCCTTTCGCAGTTCTCATTCCAATCAAACTTTGCATTCTTCTTTGTGAGTCGGGTTAGAGGGGCCACTAGACTGGAGAACCCTTCGACAAACCGGCGGTAATAACCCGTCATCCCTAGGAAACTGCGAATTTCCTTAACTGTTGTCAGCCTTTCCCAACCAAGTACCGCTTCAACCTTTTCGGGGTTCACCGACACCCCTTCCTTCGATATAACATGTCCTAGAAAGGCGGTTTGCTCGAGCCAAAATCCACACTTGCTCAACTTTGCATACAACTTCTTTTCCCTGAGTACCTGGAGGACTTGGGCAAGATGATGAGCATGTTCTTCTCTACTTTTTGAGTAGACTAAGATATCATCGATGAACACGATGACAAATTTATCCAAAAACTCTCTGAAGATTCTGTTCATTAGATCCATAAAGATGGCCGGGGCGTTGGTTAGCCCAAACGGCATAACCAGGAACTCATAGTGTCCGTACCTGGTTCGGAATGCCGTCTTGAGGATGTCTTCTGCTCTCACTTTTACCTGATGGTAACCTGATCGTAGATCTATTTTAGAAAAGACCTGTGCACCCTGCAACTGATCGAAAAGGTCATCAATCCGGGGGAGAGGGTACTTGTTTTTAATTGTTACCTTGTTTATCCTTCTATAATCAATACACAGTCTCAACGTTCCATCTCCTTTCCTTGCAAAAGTAACCCCGGCACCCCATGGGGAAATGCTGTGTCTAATGAAGCCACTGTTTTGTAGCTCAGTGATTTGTTTCCTTAGCTCTTCCATTTCGATGCGGCTCATTCGGTAAGGAGCTACCGAGATGGGTTGGGTTCCTGGCTGTAAGTCTATGGTGAACTCGACCTCTCTGTCCCCTGGTAGACCGGGCAGTTCATCCGGAAATACGTCTGGAAAGTCTCGCACTACTGGAATCTCTTGGATATAAACTTCCTTCTTGGGTTTACCTAGTTAGGGAAAATACAATATCAACGCACTGGGAATTAAGAAGAAAAGAATTTGTCATTAGGGAGAATCAGTACCGAATAATTTTATTAACTTGTAAATGGCTCCTCGTTGGGAGGATTAAATACAATCTTTTTATTAAAGCAGTCTATGGTGGCGTGATACGCCGCCAACCAATCCATTCCTAGGATTACATCAAAATCCCCTGTGTCTAACCCTATCAGTCTACCCTCAATTTCCTATCTGCTATCTCCACGGC